TTTGTTTTGTTTCCTTGGCTTGGTTTATTTCTCAACTTTCTCATCTGTAAATTTGAAATGAAAACAATACTCATCTTTTATGGATTCTGGAAAGATATCCTGCTACGCATGCAAAGCAGGTAACAGAGTTTCACAGGGAGCATGGATGCAAAAATTACACCAGTTTTGATTCACATACAAAATTGCTTCCTTATGATATTAACTGGTTATTTCCGTAGCCATTTCTCAATGCATAAGCCTGCTGACTTCAGGTGAAGAAGCACATCTCCAGAGACACACTGTCCTTCCCTCTTTGCCTTGTACATTTTAAATACACTACTGCATTCTGCCAGAAAATGAAGGGGAAAGCGTATCTCTTTAAGAATAGAGTGCTACTGTTGACAGTCAACCAGCTTGAAAAAGCATATGAATTAATTAACAATGACCCCTAATTAAACACCAGGGTACTTAGAGAAAGAACTGATGGTCCCAGACAGCATTGTTTCAGGCTGATGAATATTTACCATTCCTGTTTGCATCGTAAGTGGAAGCTATCAAAGTTACTTACTTAGATTCATTCATTAAATAAATCCAGCACCTTCACATTCCTGTTATATGTATATTCATCTATACCACATTTTCCTTTGAACAGCGTATTTCATTAAAATGTAAACTTTTTGTATAACTTGAAACTGCTTCTCTCCCTCCTAGAGAGAAAACGTATTACACCAGGCCATAGTGTGAACTAAGACAAAAAGTACTGTGTTAGCACCTGCCAGATTCCTAGTCCTTAACAACATTCGTTACAAATACTGACATGCTAATGTACATGCAAGAACCAATCTATTCCATTGAGTCCTCATATCTTCTTTCCTACACACAGTTTCTGAAAATAGATTCATCTTCCATTTAATTAATTTCTCATTTTCTGAAACACTGTTCTAAGTAGAATTCTACACCAATTTGCTACCACACCTGTCAGTCTGTCATAACATAGTGGCTTGTGTGTTGCTCTGATGCTGGCACCTGTGCCAACAGAGTTTCAAATACCAACAGTTCCCCAAGGCGGGCATGTTTCTGTAAAGCTTGTAGACTAAAAAAGATTAGGAAGAAAGGCATGGCAATCTTTTTTCCAGATTTCAGCCTATGAAAACTTTATGCATCACAGCTGAACATTGCCCGATTCACTGGCTCTGGGCGCTCCATCAGGAAGGCGCAATTCCTGGAGATGATGCTTGGTGAAGTAGGGAGGGCAGGAGGAGAAAGAAGGAACTTGTTGAGGTGGTTTGACGCGATAACCACAATGGGCTCAAGCCGACAATCACAAGATGAGGTAGGATGAGCTAAGTTCTGTCCTGTTGTGCACAAAGGTGCTGGGAGTTGGAGACAATGCAGTAGCAACCACAGAGCTCTGTCTGTCTGCCTCGAATTGGTGATCACTCTCTTCAGATCACTCTCAAATAGTTGATAGTTCAAGATAAAGTTTAAAGAAGCCTTACCCTCTGCTATCACGTCTTATTGTTAGGTGCTGTCGAATCATCTCTGACTCATAGCAACTCTACGCACAAAAGACAAAAACCTAATCCTGTCCTGCACCCTCCATGTAATCCTTGTTATGATGCGGCCCATTGTTGCAGCCGCTGCGTCAGTCCCGCTCATTGAGGGGTTTCTTCTTTGGGGGCTGACCCTCTACTTTACCAAGTATGAGATCCTTGGTAAATATGAATCTCTTCTGATAACATGTCCAAAGGCTCCCCATCTACACTTGTAAAGAGCAGTGGGGCTACACTTCTTCCTTTTTCAGACTGGTCCATTCCTCTGGTGGTCCATGATGTACTCAATATTCTTGACCAACACCGTTTTTCACATGCAGCAATTCTGGTTTAGTCTTCTTAATCATTTTTTTTAAATAATTAAATCATTTTACTGGGGACTTGTACAACTCTTATCACAATCCCACACACATCCATTGTGTCAAGCACTTCTGTACATTTATTTCCCTCATCATTCTCAAAACATTTGCTCTCCGCTTAAACCCCTGGCATCAGCTCCTCGTTTTTCCCCTCCCTCCCGGCTTCCCCCCGGTCCCATGAACCCTTGATAATTTATAAATTATTATGTTGTCATATATTACACTGTCTGACATCTCCCTTCACCCACTTTTCTGTTGTCCATCCCCCAGCGAGGAGGTTATATGTAGATCCCTGTAATCGGGTCCTCCTTTTTACCTCACCTTCCCTCCACCCTCCAGGTATCCCCATTCACACCACTGGTCCTGAGGGATTCATCTGTCCTGGATTCCCATTCTGGCTTTTTCATCCCAAAACTGACAGATTTTTCAGGCATTCCTGTCCAATATGTCAAATTCACATGGTCTCTAAATTCAACTGGAATATACTCAAAGTCCTACTTGGACTCTTGTGAATTTGTTTTAATTTCCTTCATTTTCAACTTAAATTTGCATATAGCCAATTGATTGTCCTACAGTCTACTAATGACCTTATTTTGACTGATAATATTGAACTACTCTGTTGGCTCTTTCCACATATGTGGTTAATTTTATTTCAGTGCATTCTGTCCAGTAAAGTTCTTGTGTGCAGTTATTGAAAAGGGTATTTGCAATGTCCGAGTCATTGGTCTTGCAAATTCCATCAATGGCAACACGTTGGTTTAAAAAAAAAATTTCGTCTTTGTGTGAAAACTTGAGTAATAGTTATATGGATTAGTTTCTTTGTAGCTATATATATGTTATCATACCATTGACAGTGTTGTACTTCAGGTTAGATCTTCAAATGTTCTTTACAACAATGAATGTGCTGTCATTCCTCTTAAATTTGTTATTCCCAACATAAAAGACTGTATGTCCCATTTAAATATTCCAATTCCAGTCCATTTTAGTTCACTAAATTCCTAGGATATTGATCTTTAATTATTCTATTTTGGTTTTGGCAACTTCCAATTTTCCGTGATTCATACTTTTATTCTGTAGTCCATATTCTACTAATGGCTATTTAGGGCTGTTCTCAGATTGCGTCCTAGCCCATCAGCAAGTGAAAATTCTGAAACCTTCACTCCTTTCAGGACATTAATATCATGAATGCAATCCCTCTTTGAAGAGAAGCAGCTCATTTCCTGCTGTGTTGTGAGTGTCTTTCAACCTGAGTGGTTCACCTTGCGGCACTATGTGAGACAAGGCTTGCTGCTGTTTATAAGGCTGTCCCTGGATGAGTTTTTCAGAAACAGATAACTAGGTCTTCCTTGCTAGTCTGTCTTGGTCTGGAAGCTCCAATGAAACTTGCCCACCATGGGCGACCTTGCTGGTGTTTGAGATACCAGTAGCATAGCTTCTAGCATCACAGTGACACAAAATGACAGCATATTATAGTATATTCTATAGCTCAGCTATAAATAGCCTATGTGTGGACACTTAATATAAAATTAAATGCTTAACAAATACAAATATTAATCCTGAAATGGGCAAATGAGAAGATGGAAAGAGCAGACAGCTGTGTATATGTGTACATATGTACATGGAGAGTTGAGAGGATGTGTAAGGAAGCAAAACCAGAAACAAGCGAACTCACTGCGTAGAGGGGATCGGGGCCCTAGAGGACAGAGCTGAACTGCCCCTGCGGGTTTCCTAGGGCACAAATCTTCACAGGGGAAGAAAGCCTCCTCTTTCTCCAGAGAAGTAGCTGGTGGTTTTGAACTGTTGACCTTGCAGTTAGCAGCCCAATGTATAAGCCACTATACCACAAGAGCTCCTGTAAGGAAGCAAACATACTTCATTACCCATTGTTTGGTAATAATGTTGAAAAGTGAAAAACAAAAAAAGTTAGCAAACTGTTTAGGGATACGAATGATACTATCAGAAAAATTCACTTACAAAAATTCACTTTGAATCAAAGTGTAAGAGAGCAGAAAGTGGCACAGCTGTTGTTTTGTTTTTAACCTTGTAAACCACTTGATGCCTTAAACTCTGTGCATGAGTAACAGATTAAAACTTAAAACAAATTTATAAGGGCATATAACCTCTGATAGAATGCAATTCACAAAGCAGTACATTTCTATGAGACTAGGGACTCCTTTTTAGTCATTAGAGGCTAGCAGGTATTGTCTAAGCACATAATTCCGGGATGGTAGTGAAGCTCTTCCAATGGACAGTTGCTAGCGTATCCTTTAGAAAACATCTGACCCTACCTGTCAGCCTCCGTCTGCCTTTGGCAGAACTTCCCCTGGCACGCTATGTCACAGTTACAGGTGAACAGCCAAGAAAAAAGTGTTCCTTCTGTCCGTGAACACTTGTTTACTGTGGCATTCAAGGTCCCGGAGCTAAGCTGACAGACGCTCCTCCAGAAGGTTAATGAGATAAAGGTTCCCCCGGCTGGCCCTTAAGCAGAGATTACACTTGAGGGGAGGATAAACAGATTATTCTTGAAACAGACACTGCTATATGTACTTCATAAATGAGCACCTCAGAGAGGTAAAACTAAACTGGTATCCTCATTTGGCTGATGCCAACATTTAAGTATTTCCATAATCCTATCATTCTAATTATTTGAAATAAGATTTGGTGTTGTTCCACAGTTTTTATCAGAATTAACCCTGAGAAGCCAGAATGTATTTGGAAACTAGAAGGGCAATTTGTGTTTTCTGGATTTTTCTCCAAGTTCAAGGGATCAAAGGTAAGTTACTACCATGTTTCTTTCCTTTTTAAATTGCTCATCTTATCTATAGATTCTACTGTATATTTAATATCAGCAAGGCCATCACTTTCTTTTAGGAACCTAGTACTCGTCCCAAAGCTGAGACCCGTTGCCATCCAGTCCCCTCCAACTCATGGTGGCCCCATAGAGCAGGGTCGAGCTGCCCTGGAGGGTTTCCAATGCTGGAAATCTTAATGAGCGCAGACTTGCTCCTGTGGAGCAGCTGGGTCAATCCAGCTGGGTGCTTAACTACTGTGCCACCGGGGCGCCTTCGAATCCCTAGTAGGTCTAAGAAACTGGTCCTTGATTGCTTAAATATAAAAAATGTTTCTTTCTTTGTCGAATTAAGTGCAATTTATGTTACCAAACTCACTGCCATTGAGTCAATGCCAACTCATAGGGACCCTATCAGACAAGGTAGAACTGCCCCTGTGGGTTTCTGACATTGTAACTCTTTAAGGGAGTAGAAAGCCCATCTTTCTCCAGTGTTAGAAGCTCAACATGCAACCCCAACACCACCAGGAGAGAGAAAGTGAAATTTATTGCTATGCAATGTTGGATGCATATTATCATTCATACAAATAATAGTAGGTCTATGAAACCAATTGTACTCATCCATCTACACACCACAATTAAAATCTAAAACAAATTAGTATTTTAAGTCATTCTTGAGCAAATGAAAAATCTTTCTTAGCTTTTCAAAATTAAATCATTAGTTGCTTTTGCTTCATCTGCAGGGTTTGTGATAATGACCAACTCAGAAACTTAGCTACCTTTTTCAATGTTGCACTAAACCGTGCGCATGCATAAACGAACACGGCGGTGCTCTGTGCTTTCGGCAACCTTCAAATGAATCTGAAAGTAAAGCGAGCCACAAAACAAGTAGATTTAAGAAAAGTAATGTATTTTTAGGAGTTCTAATGACACAGTGGTTAAAGTAATTGACTGCTGACCAAAAGATCAGCATTCAGACCTGACTTCTCCTCCAGAGAGGTCTGGGGCTGTCTGCGGCACCCCCTTCCACGAAGACTGACAGCCTTGGAAACACTAAGTTGATGCTGTCCTATGCAGTCACCATGAGTGGGAGTCAACTCAACATTTGGGTCAGGTTTTAATGCATTTTCACTTTGAAAAACTTATTCTGAGATAAATCTGCCTAAACCCAAATTGTCAGGCTTATCGACTTGGTCAAGCAAATTGGTTTTATCTAATCATACTAACCAATTTATCTAATTAATCATACTAACCAATTTAACCATTATACACAATCACAAATGGCATCATTCTACACAATGTTGTTGCTATTGGGTGCTAGCAAGTCAGAGCTAAACACACCCTGGTCGATTGCTACCATATCGTTGTACCATCCTCACGATTGCTTTGTTTGAGCCCATTGTTGCAAACGCTCTGTCGATCCATCTCATCAAGCATCTTCTTCTCTTTTGCTGCCCTTCTATTTTACCAACCGTAACACCCTTTTCCAGGGACCAGTCTCTCCTGATCACATGTCCAAAGTAGGTGTCTTTCGGTTTGTCATAGTGGGGTGGCTTGAGTGCTTTTGTGATGCTGGAAGTGATGTCACTGCTATTCCCAGTACCAACAAAGGAACAGGCTTCAGCACAGCTTCCAAACTAGGAACATTCTATGAAGAAAGACGAGGCTGTCTACTTCTGAGGACTTAACCACTGCCAACCTTACGAATCGGAGTGGATTCTATGCAATTCTATGCACTGAATCAAATGAAATAAGCTCACTAATCAAGCCACAATTTTTCTATCACTACTTCTTCATCCCATCTGCATAAGAAAAGAACCGATTATTTTACTTGTTTATTCCACGAGAATCTCAAATCTGTGATTTTCTATTAATCTTACACTACTGAGGTCTACATTAATTAGAGTTTATGTACCTCAGCCAAACTGGCTTTCCATTAGTAACTAATTAACCATCATGAGTCTATTTACACAGATAAAGGCTTGGAGAAGAGAAAGGCTCAATTCAATACAAATAGCTGCTATGCATAACAATGAAGTTTTAGCGCAATTCTTTAATAGTTATACATTTTTGATAAATTGGAAATACGAGAAAAAAAATTACTCATCCTTCTATCGAAACTGACCCTGTACAAAGATCTTTTTTTCTTCCGGTTTGGTAGGCTAATTTAACTTTTAATTTTTACAATTGTACAATACAAACAATCTAATTTGTCTGTTTTGAAGGATCTGTTTATTGTACATTCAATGGGGCTCGCATAGCAGCAGTGTGGGAGGGTCCTGGTCTCACCGCACCCTCTCCAGCACTTGCTGTTTTCTGGGTTTGGTGGTTTTCTTTTTGTAACTTTGCTGCCAATGTTGGTGTGAGACGGTAGCTCACTGTTGTTTGGCTTTGTGTCTCTGGAATAGCTAATGACCTTGAGCATTTCTTCCTATGTTCCTGGACTACTAGGGGGGCTCCCTTGGTGAAATTTCTATTCATCTTCTCTGCCCATTGTCTAATTGGATTATTCATCTTTTTCTTGTTAAGGTGCTGCAGCTTTCTACAGATTTTAAAATTTTGTCTTTTGTCAATATATCATTGCCACAAAAAACTTTCCCAGTCTGTGAGTTCTCTTTTGAACCTTTGGATGAAGTTTTTTGATGCACTTGAGTGTCTTATCTTTAGGAGGTCCCAGTCTTTTATTCTTTGTCTTCTGCTGTGTGTGTGTGTGTGTGTTTCAGTGTATCTGATAGTATGTTTGTGCCATGTGTTAGGGCCCTTAAGTTTGTCCCTACATTTTCACTGATTATTTTTATAGTTATAGAGTTTACATTTAAATCTTTAATCCATTTTGAGTTCATTTTGTAATGTTAGTTGAGGCTTGTTGTGCTTTCGTAGGAGCCCTGCTGGCACGGTGGTTACACATTTGGCTGCTAACTGCAAGGCCAGCAGTTGGAATCCACCAGCCACTCTGCAGGAGAAAGAGGAGGCTTTCTCCTCCTACTAAAAAAAAATCAGTCTCAGAAGCCTACAGAGGCAGCTTTACCCTGGCCTACAGGGTCATCAGGAGTCAGAATCAACTCAATGGCAGTGAGTTGGTTAGAGTTTTGATGATCACATAGATGAATGTTCTACATTGCAGTATAGTTTTGATAAGCATAATTTGATTGGCTATAGAATAGTCCTTTAAATGGATATAAGGAGTGACAGTAGTGTGACTTGTAACTAATGGTCTGAGCCCATCAGCCCCTTCGCAGGAGAAAGACAGGCAGTGTGCTTCTACAAAGATGACAGTCTATGGAGCAGTTCTGCTCTGTCCTACGTGGTCCCTCTGGATCAGAACAAACTCAACAGCAGTGGGTTTTATTTGGTTTGGTTTAAGTAGATATATCACCATTTGCTTTATCTGGATGCTAAACAAAAGATGTATAATGGTGTTTTGTTATTATGAATATCCTTGTGATGCAAATATTGTGCATCAATTTCTCTCAGTGTTTAAGCATAAATTTACTCATGTGAGTTTATTGGTTCAGAGCAATGTAAAGTTTGGTGGTATTTGATTCATATTACTGAGTTACTTCTCAAAAAGGTTTTCTATATCCTCAGGTGATTTTTCCAAGTTTACTTCTACAAACAAAGCATTTATCATGTACTCAATTCTATATGAGGCTCAGGATATAAAGAGATTCAAAGACATGCCAAGATTTCAAAAGGTTTCCTCTTAAGTTTAGCAGATCTGAATTTAGTTTTTCCATTGCTATATAATGTGAATTGGCTTTGATTTCAGAACCTTCATGAAATAAAATCGTTTTAGTGCAACAACAACAACAACACAAAAGATAGTCCCAGATTTTCAGAGAACAATTATTTCAGCAACATACCGAGGCTCCTCCCTTCAGGATTCACAAAAGGCATGCCAGCTGCCTAGGAAGTACACAGCACTGCTTTATGCACTTACCTTTCTGTTTCACAGCAATAACTTCATTTAATTGCTTGTGACATTCTGACAGAGGGAGAAGATCTACCCTTGCCAAACGCCATAATGGAAATAGTGTTTATCAGAATATGTGCCTTTTGCATTACATTTGGTTATAATAATGAAACCGTTAACTAACTTATCATTAGTTCACCAAGGTAAAGTCATTATTTAAGTAGCTGTAAAATGTCAGGAAATTTGCATTTGAAGCCTTCTTACTTCTTGCTAATCTTTTACTACTGGGATATGTTCGCATTTCATAAAATTACCCAGGAAGGTATTTTCCCTAATTGCGGCTTCATTTACAGAGAATTTGGCTTCCTTCGTAGACTTGGAACAGCTAACAAACGACAGTCACATTAACTTCGCAGCTCCTCTATGTCTTCATCTGTGCGGCGGTCTCAGAACAAGGAAACAGAAGAAGACTTTAAGGCCGATTTTTTTCCAATTATATCTGAAAAGATGTCCTTTCAAGAGAAGCTGTGTCGAGTGAAGACACTTTGTGTCCAATTGGACAGAGAGCAACAGCACACCTGAAACCATTTATTGGGTTATATTCACAGTTTTCTCAAGCAAAAAGAATGTGCTGCCTCCTGGCCCCTTCGTGGTTGTATCACTGACCACACTAAAGAACTCTCCTTTCTATGAGTTCAGGAGACAGGCTGCTCAGGAGGCCATTTCTGTGGAACACCAGAGCACAACGTTCCACATCAAGTGCACGTGGATGCTAGCCATCTCTGGAAACTCAGATCCTTTATCTACAGCCTTAGTGCTAGGCTCTTTCTAGAAGTTGAACGCTTCACCTTTCTCCCGCTGGTGGTTTTGAACTGCTGATCTTCTGGTTAGCAGCCCAGTATGTAACCCAGTCTGCCACCAGGGCTCACGTTCTCAGTGCACAACCAAGCCTTTGCTGGAAAGGAAAGAAACCCCTGGGCCACAATGAGTATACGGAAACCATTCAAAATGGATCGTTTAGCAACCACTGCCAGGTGAAGAGATCTTTTCATTCCGCGCTGGCATTTCCGTC